GGTAGTTGAATATTTTGCTTCGATCAATGCTTTCAATGGAGCACTATATACAAGATGTTAATGTATTATATATAAGAGAATAAGTAGTACATTGTGGAACTTTATACATTTATGAAAAATCGAAGTATAATCTGAAGAAAATTTCTGTAATTGTGTTCATAAAAATTTTGTTTAATTCGCATAAGCAAATCCGCGTCGTTGTAGAGGATTGAAGTTCGAGTTAGATAAAGTAAGACGCAGGGAGAATCGTTTGTTTCGTCCTCGATTCGTAAAAATTAAATTGCTCGTAATTGTAGAAACAATCTACTCGATCGATACTTTTATACATCAATTTTTCGGTTGTTTTTAGTCTCTCTAGAATTAACCTCAAAGATGTCCCACGAATATATTAACATTTTATACAAACTATTGTTTTAAAACTTTAATAACTGCACTTTAACGAAGCCTTGGAAGTTTATATCAACTTCCACGAGGTGCAGGAATTCTGCTTTCCCCCATAGTTGTATACAGAATAGAAATTAATAATTGTTGCGCACAGATTGCGCCCCCTACGAGGCAATGATGTTACGGCAAAATAAATTAAAACTGTAATTACACTGTCTATAAAATATAAATATAAATACAGGTGTTTGATTATAGAGGGTTAATTCATGGACACACGATGAAAGACCTCCAAGAAAAAAAACGCCGAGGTTTTCAATGTAAAAATTCGCGAACATTCTAAAATAACATTCTAAACTTGAAAAAAGATATTCATTCACGGGGACGAATTTTAGTCGTCTTTTTTTTTAAGACGATGAATTTAAAAATAATCACGAGACGAGACTCTTGTTGCGTCCACGCGTGATTATTCTTCATTTTTGTAAATTAACAGTAACAAGAGTCCTCGGTGTTGCGACTTATCCACGAGAGGTAACGATTCACCCTGGTGTAAACACCAGGGTAGCCAGGCCTCGCGCATCCTTCGCCCCAAGATACAATTCCTGTGAATTAGATACACCACAGATCGTAGATTTAAGTATAGAGCAGTCATTGGATGAGATATGAAGGAGGTTCGAGTTCGTGTCTTCTTTTGAATTTTAACGAGGATATATCGAGGATAGAATCACGAGATTATTCCTCTTCAATACTTGATATTTAGATAATAAGAATTCGTTTCAAATAATGAATTATTCCCAAGAAGAAAATAAACGATAAAGCATTTCACGAAATTGTAATATTATATTTAAACAGTGTTTTCATTTTGAGTTAATTTTTCGATCGATTGACGTACAGAGACACGTTTCTTTTCGATGAAATTATTATTCGTTACTATCTTACCAAGATCATATCATTATTTCTCCATTCTTCACTATATTTGACAAACCAACAACTTTACATCTCTTCCAATGATAATTCTATTCATAGCCAAGCAATATAGCGGAAGTCTTACCGACTATTTGATATGTATCCATGTTGACGATATGCAGGGGACCACCACTGTCTCCCTAACGAAAAGAAAAAAAAAAAGAAAATACACAAATTTAAACTTTTCTCGATGTGATCAAGTGATAAACAAAAAACGGACGTGCAAATCGGATGATACACAAACTCGAGTAGAGTTGCAAATGTGCAAAGATGTACAAACAATGTTGTTAAATGCGGAGAAGAGGTGTTAATAGTGACGATAAGAAGGACAAGAAGAATTTGTTGTTAATTACCTGACACGAATCCTTGCTTCCCTCTTGGTAACCAGCGCACAGCATGTTGTCTGTAATCCTTTGCGATGGATATTTAGTGGCGCGGCAATCGGCGTTCGAGAGAATCGGAACCGTCACTTCCTGTAGAGTTTGCGATATGGCGCCAGACTCCGCTGTCGCTCCCCAACCTGTCACTGTTCCATTCAATCCGGCAAAAGTTTTCGCTGAAAAAAAGTAATCCCCCGTGGGACATCAACAGATATTTCCTTCTCTCTTTCTTTTTCCAAGCTCGTCGAAATATGTATGATTTGTAATTTTGATAAAAAAAAGGGGGGAGGATAGGATTTTTTTGCGTCAAACTCGATTTGAAAAAGTTTGAAAAGTTCTTTTTACTTCTGGTATGAATGGATTAATTGTTCTGCGTGAAAAAGAAAAAAATGTATAATGAAATTTGTTGCAACATTTAATGAACATATTCGATTTTAATTGAAAATAAGAATTTAAATAAACAAATTTTATTACGCTTCTATTTAGAATCTCCTGTCAATTGTTCGTTTAATAAAAAGTTAATTAAATTCAAATATATATATATATATATATATATATTATACGTTAATGCTTGAACTGAAATTTCTTACAGAAATTTTTCGTTATTTACCTCGTTCTGGAAGACAAACAGGTCTCGTCTTTCCCTCGAATCGAACGGCGTCCTTCAGTTTGATGAGCGCGATGTCATTGTTATAATTGTACGTCGAATAACCGCTATGCTTAATCACTTTATCGACACGAAATTCTTGCGTCTTTGCCTCTGTAGTGGAATTGCGATCGTGTTCCAATATCCGCACCGATATGAGATTGGGATCGAACCTGGAATTGGAATACGAGGTACGCCATTAAAAATTTAGTTTCGACCAGGGGCAAGCAACTATTGCTGACTCTGATAGGCATAAAATTTCACAAAAATCGTTGAAATTGATACGAGATGTATTCTTAAATAAAATAGTATTGTAAAAATTAGGAAAATCTCGTATTGAAGTGTTAATATAATAAATTAAAAATATGAATATACGTATTATTACAATTTATTTGTATTTTGAGATCACCTGTCGACACAATGGGCGGCAGTTACTACGTAAAAAGAGCTTATAACGGATCCACCGCAATAGAATCGTCCTCTGTACATCAGTAAAACCATCCATGGATATTGATTAACTTGAGTCTCGACACCACCGACAATACGTCTCTGTACGTTCGTCAAACCGCATTCTATAAAGTATAACGTAATATGTGTCGTGTTCAATCAATTTTATCGAGAGATAATATAAAGATAATGAAATTTAATATTTTTCTTTAGCGTAAAATACTGCATAAAGATTGTTTAACTAGAAATCATCCTGGCGCGATTATTTTTATAAATATTCTCCTTCTTATTATTTGTTATATTTTCATATTAAAGATTTGATCAGAACTTACACTTTGTAAAAAAAAAAACGAGGTATCTTTAATTAAAAATCTTTTCCTTTACAAAAGAACGAATAGATTAAACTATCTCCAGATTTCTCGATTTCTAAGATATAAACTTCTTCGAAAGTTTAACTTTAAACAATAAAAATATATATCTTGAAACACGGGTAGTTTTTGTCTCTGAATGCTATGTATTCAAGAAAATCACTTACTGCAAGGTAAACACGTTTCAGGAATTTCTGGTTTCGGATTTTCAGTCGTGGAATCACTAGGGGACAATATCCCGGCCAATATCCATTCCCAGAAATTTTTGTCATCGTTGATCGTTGCATTGTATTGTGTTGCGTTCAAATTTATTCCCTCTTTGATGACCGACGATTGCACCTGTAAAAGTTTATACCATTTATTATTCCAAGAGCAGAAGCAACAGATACATTTACTAATTTTTTAGTGTACATTTTCACAATACAAATAAAATATTACAGAAATAAATTGCAGAGGATAACCTGGAGTACATCGATACACATATTTCACGTTTAATATTTTTTTTGTTTTATCTGAATATATTTTATACCCAGTCGAGACATGATTAATAAAAACAAATTACAAAATAAATATAAATGTATATCTCGCTCGATATCTCAAAATTTTGTTCCTCGAAGCATAAATGATTCAATAAGAAAAAAAAAAAAAAAAAAAATNTACCTAAAATCTT